AAGCAGTTTCTCGAAGCTACCTCGTTTACGCTGTATGCGTTTGGCACGATTCCGCAGGATCACGACACCTCTCTCATGCTCATGCAAGGCGCCGCTGATTGCATACGCAGTCTCGACGGAGATGGACGTGCGAATAGCCTGGCCACGGTGGCAGCCGATTTGACCTGGGATATGATCGAGAGCACTCGACAGTGGCAGCTCTTTTACAGCGTCTATCGACACGTTCCCGTGAGCCACGAGCCGTCTACCACCGCATCTGCAGCAGCGCATCACGGCAGTGGCAACGGCAACGGCAACGGCAACGACAACGACAACCACCCAGACCTCAACGTCGATACCAGATCCCGCTCCAGCCCTCGCACCCACTCGGCCATGGACAAGCTCGCCGCAGCGGCAGTCATAGCCTCGAGCCCCAGCAAGCCTGCCAATCTAGACCCTCTTGCGCCTCTCGCGGTCAACACACAACCAGCCGGACCAGCAACCCAGTCGAGCTGGGACGCAAGCTCGTCGGAAGCCACACCGCGAAACCCCGACGACGTGGGCCTCTACAACCTATCGCTGCCCTTTGACCTCGATGCATTCCTCAAGGACATTGACCAGTGGTTCTAGCCCACTGCACACCGACCAAACCTTGAGATGATCGTCATATCTTGACACAAAAACATAAACAACAATAACAATAATTTCTACACAGGATATATCTTAAAAAATGGAGTGAAAAAAGCAGCAAAGACAAAGCGCGCAAAAAGAAATGGCTTGATAAAAGTAGCAGATCAGAGATGAGCGGCTCTGGGCTCCTGGCCAGTAATGCTGGAGCGGAGGTGAGCGGGTTCGACGGCGCCGATTTCACGGGCGACGTTGCGGGCGACGCCACGAGCGCCGGCCATGGTGGTGATCATGGGATTGACGCCGCTGGACTCGGGCATGATGGAGGCGTCTGCGATCCAGAGGTTCTTTGCGCCCCAGACGCGGCCCTCGGGATCGCAGGTGGACATCTTGGGGGTTGCGCCCATGCGGCAGGACGACATCTGGTGGGCAGAGGCAATGGAGCAGAGGTAGGGCTGTGCGCCGACGGTGGCAACCTTCTTGAGCCACGCCTGGTATGCGGGGTCGTTGAGATCGCGAGGCGTGGTCTCGACCGGAGTCCAGGTGGCCGGGATCTGGGTGGTCTCGGTGTAGACGCTGTCGGTAGGCGCGACCGGAGTGGTGGTGGCACCTCCGGGAGGCGACGAGGTCGTCGAGAGCGAAGTGGCGCTAAAGACGGGCACGGTGGCCTGTGCGGTGGCAATCTCCTCGGCACCAGCCATGAGGTGGGCATCGCATCCACGGAGCATGCCCTGGACGAGCGACTTTTGGTCAAACGACGAGATGGTGTACTCCATGCGTGCCTGTCCCTTGTCGTCGAGAACGACCTTGCCATCGTCGCGGTCTCGGCAGATGATGACCATGCTGTAGCTGTAGCTGTATCGCAGCATACGAGCCTTGTGCTCCTTGGCCGACGAAAAGTTGGCCAGTGCCGCGTGGGTCGAGGGCGACGAGGCAACCACCTCAATCTTGCAGCCCCAGCCGTCCTTGTCGACGAGCTCGGCGGCGTTGGAGACCATGGTGAGCAGTCCACCCTCCCACGGCTTGATGGGGAAGTTGTAGTAGCCCGTGATGATGGTGGCCGGGTGCAGGCGCAGCGTCTGGCCGATCATCTTGTTGGACTTGAGCTCGGGGCATCGGAGCAGCAGAGCAGGCGTCTGAATGGAGCCGGAAGAGACGACGACGCCCTTGGAGGCGAGGATCTTGACCTTGCGGCCGTCGACCACGGCGTGCGCACCCACAGCGCGCTTGTTCTTGTCAAAGATGATACGGTCGATGTAGCAGTTGGTCATGAATGCGGCACCAGCCTCGGCGGCATCCTTGAGCCAGGTGACAACGCCGCCCTGCTTGTGGCCCGAGATGCACCCGAGCTGGCACTTGCCACAGTAGTGGGTGTGGCCGCCGCTGTTTTGGGGAACGGGCTCGACAGGGTGGCCGGCACGCTGCGAGCCGAGCGCCAAGAGCGAGTTGCTGATGTTGTGGCGGATGGGGGCAACGGCGACACCCATGCGGGTGCAGACGGCGTTGAGGTCCGAGGTGAAGAAGGGGCTGTTGTAGTATGGGACACCGTACTTTTCGGCCCAGGCGCGTCGGGCAAAGTGACGAGGCTTGAGCGAGGCAGACCAGTTGATGGTAGAACCACCGCCAAAGCCAGATCCAGCAAGCACGTTGATCGAACCGTCCTCCGAGGGCATGATGCCACGAGACTCGTAAAGAAGGCCGTAGCCCTGATCCTCACGGCCGACGACCTGTTCGGGACGAAGGTAGATACCCTTGTCAACAATGAGGGTACGGACACCGCGTTGTGCGAGGTAGCTACCGGCGACGCCGCCGCCCGAGCCAGATCCAATGACAAGAACCTCGGTGTCGACAATGATCTCGGTGTTGGAGGGCTGGCCCGCGATCTTGTCGTTCTCAAACTTGTAGTCGTAGAGAGGCTTGGCATCTTCAGATGGTCGGTCTTCGAAGGAGCGGGACCAGTCGTCGGCTCGACCATCGGGGTAGCCGATGGCCTCCCATGCTGGCTGGTGGTTGCGGTAGTAGACGAGCATGATGATACCCTTGAGACCCGCGGACGCCTTGCGGAAGAGGGTGATTCGCGAGGTGAACCAGCCAAAGAGGATCTTTTCGCGAGTGGCACGGTCGAGATCAGGGAAGGGGCCGACGTGGCCAGTAAGGGCGAGGGTGCCGGGGCGAGTGGAGAGAAGGGAGAGGAAGAGGTTGATGTCGCCTGCTACCTTGGTGGAGAGGGAGGACTTGACCTGCGTGGCAGCACAGTCGAGCAGACGAGGATCAGAGCAGAAGCCCTCCTTTGCAAAACGCGGGGCCAGCTCGCGTTGACGGTCAGAGACTTCGGCGGGAAGGTGGGAGAGGACGTCGGCAGCCTCGATGCCGTCGAGCTCGGGGATGACGGCATCGGCGATGGCGAGGAAGGACTTTTGCTGAGCAGGGGTCCAATACTCGCTGGCCTTCATGAGCGTAGGCATCGGCACGGATGGTGGCGCGGAAGCCGACATGGTGACGAATGCAGTCTTCTGGACGAAGTGGGGCCAAAGTTGACTTGTTGAACGTGTGGTGGTCAGGAATGCGGCCGTCGGTTGTATCGAGTCTGTTGGCGGATGATCAGGAAGAAGAAGGAGGACTGATGGTGGCGAGGTAAGAGGAGGAGATATATTGGATGACAAGTGCGATGAACAGGGGGGAAGAAGAGGGGGGAGGAGAGGGTGTGAAGATGTAGAGGCAAGACAGGAACGCGGATGTGCTGTCGAGCGTAGAATTCAGGTGAGGTCCGAGCGGCTAGAGCACAAGATCCGAGCAAGGCGGGGGTGAAGAGACCGGATCTAGCTACAGTAGTGGTGGCGATCCGTGAGATGAAAGCAAGTCAGGCACAGAGAGGAGAGGGTCAAGGTGATGAAGCTGGACTGTGTGGACTGGGAGGGGAGGTAACCTTGATTGCGGGTGTGGAATACAGTACGGTAGCGTAGTTTTATGAGAAGGGCGGAGGTGAAGCAGGGCACAGGTAAGCTGGCTGGTGCACCCGCCTATGCAATGAGGCTGCAGGTGGGGATGTGCAAATTACAGTACAGTACAGTACAGTACAGTACAGTACAGTAGCACTACAGTAGCAGTGCGGCGGGTGGCATGCTGAGAGGTGGGTGTGTGTGTGTCGTGGGACGTGGAACAAAGCTCGAAATGCGGGGTCGATGGATGACGGCGTCGATGCGGTCAGCGGTTAACAAGACCCCGACGCAACAAAGCGAAGCGACACAGCTGAGGAAGCGAGGCCAAGCTTGTGCCACTGTACGGCACACCACAGTCCAGTACAATACAATACAGTACAGTTACAGAACAGAACAGCTAGCGAGGAGAAGAAAGAGAAAGCATGCGCCCGCCAAAGAAGGAGGGGGGAAACGCGGCAGCTGCAAAGCCGTTAGCGAGCCGCCGCCATCCGCGCCTTTTCTGACTTTTGGAAGCGGGCGGACACCCCTTCCCCCCTAACTCTGCTCTTGTTCGCTAAGCAAACCTCAAACATGCATCTCCGTCAGAGCTGCTGCACAAACATGCAATATAATCAGATGCCGATTCCACTCTCCTTTACCCATGATGGCAGACGACACCATGGATTGCAATTGTATAATACTATACGGGCCCTGTATCCACTCACAAGAGCAGTACGCTTCCGAATCCTCTCATTTTCGGACTTCAAAGAAGAGCGCAGCAGCGAAAGTGAGCACAGCCGGCGTTGGTGTGGTGGTGGTCATGGTTAGCAATGCGCACCCTATGCTTTCATGTAAGCCAGTCACCAATGATGCATAATGCAAAACGGGTATAACTGCTTATGAGCTACTGTACTGTACAGTAGTAGGAATGCTGTGAAGTGAGAAACGGGTGGTAACCTTGTGCGTGTGGATGCACAGAGGGAGCCGCTGCTGTGGAGTCGGAAAAACGGTTTGCTTATTTCTGGCCTTGCGCGCTTCGTTGGGTGTGGGTAAAGACACTCGTCTGCTGCCTGCTTCTCTTCATTCACTGACTTTGCTAGCCCATCTTTTTGCCCAAAATCGAACATTTCCCCACTCCAGCGTCGCGTGAAACAGTCCAGGACGTAGTGTAGTGGCAACCTCCTCGATCCGCGTTGTTAGAGCCAAAAACCTGCGCATCGATGATGCTCTTACAGTCATTCAGTGAGATGGGCCTATACACCATGAATGTCGACCATTCGACTATGCACGTGGTCTCAGCAGCACTTCCAATCACTGTGAGAAGAGTCAAGCTGGCTTTCGCAAGCATAAGGGAAAAAAGAAACACTCTCGACGGCCAGGTTATGAGTCAGTCAGCGCAACAACAGCTCATAGTCTAACACAAGAGGCGTGCTAACACAAGAGGCATGCAAACAAAGCCAAATATAGCAAAAAGAGAGGTCGTACTGGGATTCGAACCCAGGGCAAGAGAAGGTCAGATGCTGGACATCTTACGACGCCACTAATCAGAATCTCCTAAGTTAACCAACTACTCCATACAACCCGAGGATGGCAGGATTTCAAACTGTTGCGTATATATACCCACTTTCTGTAAAATTTCAGATCCGTGAGTATAATGGCTGCAATGTTGATCTATCGATATAGAGCTGCAACCTTTCAATCGAGCATTGCGGCATGCCACTCGACATGCATTCTGCGAGTGAAAAGTGTCTGTAAAGTACCTTTACTGTCATCTGCAGTCCCAATGACTGCAGACATCCTCAATGCCGTCTCATGTTCATTCAGATCAGTTGGAGGGGGGTATCTATTGTTGATGCAAGAAGCGAGATCACATGAATCGAAAGAGCAAGAAAGTTCTGTATAGTTGAGGTCGTCAAGCATTAGGAACAGGCAAAAGCGGCGGTGGTGACACCAATAAGCCCTCGTTCCCCACCATCTTGGTTTGCGACGGGGGAACGCTTGCTTCAGGCGCCGAAGGATCTTGTGACGGCGGAGCAGCGTCCTGCGGACCGTCTAGCGGATAGTCCCAGGCGCGGGGCACGAGTGCCAGAGGCATGAACCAGGTGGCCGCCACCACCACGCCGTGGCCGGCATCCTGCGCAAGAATCGCCTTGTACTCGACCTCCATAAACGTGGAAATGTACTTGATGAAGGGCAGAAGCTCAGGCACGCCTCCACCAACGGCCATGGTCTGCAGAAACGACAGGAACGCACCCGAGACCGAGTGGGCTGTGCCGAGGTAGTTCATGGTCGCTTTGGGCAGGGTGATCTCAAAGCCCCACCAGTGCACAAAGATGGCCATTCGGTCCAGTGGCGGATGGATCGCGCTCATGTCCTGCGTAGCGTGGATGGCAGCACCCGACACGTTGGCGAGCACGTCGAATGCGCCCGAGGTCTGCGCCGCCGTACCGATGGGATCCATGATGAGCTGCAGCGGCGTCGATCCCATGAGACGCTGCCCGTCTTGCAGCGTGGGCAGCGCTGCCATCGACATGCTGCGCATCATTCCCGGTCGACTCTCCGACGAAGACTCCGCCTCCAGCGTCGTCAACGGATCTCCGGCAGGCACAGCGCTGGCCGAGCGCGAGGCAAGCGGCGACGATAGCAGCCCGCCCATGCCAGAAACCACCGCAGCGGCACCTGCGGCAAGCATCTCTCCCGTCGAAGGGCCCTGAGCACCTGTTGCCCCCTCGGTGGCTAGCTTTGGCGGAGGATCGACATGGTTGACGTGTCTGCGATGGGCCTCGTGCTCGCCACAGTCGAGGCAGACGGCTTTGAGAGGGCGTGCGCCGAGCTGCTTGCCTGGCATGGATGCAGCCGGCTGTTTTGTAACGGCTGTAGCAGTCAAGGCCATGCCAGCTTCCGAGGCTGGTACCGTGGGGCTCTGCAGGGACATGTCGGTTGGCGAAGGAAGCGAGGATGTGCGTGCCTGCACCATGGCCGCTGTCGATGGTAGGTCGGTGGCCGGAGTGCTCTGCCGCTGTGTGATCTTGCGTAGCGCTTCCTCGGCTGCCGACTTTGCCCTTCCATTGCTGGCTGGTCTCGCAGAATTGGCACCGTCTGACGGGATCGGTATGCTGGCGAGATCTGCAGCTGCGGGCCTCTTGCGAATCTCACTGTCGTCTTTGGCCTGGATGCCGTCAAGCGCCGAATCCGGCAAGCTGGCGGCCAGCACGCGCTCGTCGCCGTGGTCGCCCGCGGTGCCGATCTTTACGTCGGGCTCGAGTCGTCCAATGCCGTGCTGCAGTGAGTCCAAGGGAACCGGCATACTGCGGAGTCGATCGATGATGCCGTTGGCCATGTCGGCGTCGAGCAGGGCGGACTTGAGGCCCTTGAGCTGGGATGCCTCGGCGACGGGAATGGGGCGAGCCTTGATTGGCTTGGCCTTCTTGCCCTTCTTGGCAGCACTGGCATCATTGAGGTCGCGGGTATGAGCGGTGGAGCTTAGGCGCGGAGGAACGGGATGGAGGCCCATGCCGGCATTGATGACCTGCTCGAGCGTCTTGGCGTGGCGTGCAGCCGTAGCCTGGTGCTTGGTCACTTTCACTTTGGCAACTTTGCCCTTGTCTCCACCCTTGCCCTCATTGCCCGCATGAATGCCTCGACGATCCCATCGAAAAAAGCGTCGCTTGGCATTGGCCACGACGGCACTAGCATCCGGATTGGCGGGCACGTTTCGATCAGCAACGGGGCTCTGCGGCTCCGGAGGCTCTGAGGGCGTCGCTGAGCTGACTGTAGATGAGGTCGTCTCTACGCTGCATCGTCGGTCGGTGCTGGGCAAGTCCGAGGTAGAGTGGGACTTGAGACCCCTCCAACGAGTGCGAAAGGACGCGGAACGCGCTGCTCTAGGGAGCTTGTCTTCGATCTTTTTGTCTTTTGATTTAGTCTTGCTTGGGGCGGTAGCAGAAGCTGGCGAAGGGCTGATGAAGTACGCCGCTAGCTGCGCCTGCTCACGCGCGTTGGCGATCTCCTCGGTCGAAGGACTGAAGCTGACACGGTGGGGCGAAAGAGCTCTCGCCGCTTTCTTTGATGGTGACGAGGATGCCGACATTGTTGTATGGATCTATGTCCATGGAAGGATGCGACAGAGTGCAGGACGTCGACTCGTGGAAACAAAGCAGGAAGATGGAGCTTCGACGTGTAGACACGCAGCTGGCGAGGCGATTGAGAGTGTCGGATGAGATGCGTGGGCGTACTCCAGACGGCGACGTATGGAAGCACGACAAGGTGCTGAGGCAAGACGAAGCAACGGAGAACTCAAGGCACGGGCTTGATAAAGGTTCGAGCTGCGACCAGCTTCGCTCTGCTCGAACCTGGCGAGGTCAGGGCAGTGCGTGGCACCAGGATGGAGTCTCACTCGAGATCTGATATGGAAGTGGCGGGATGCTTGGGAAGGCGTCGAGAAAGAAAGGTGACGGATTGGAACGGGATGAGGCGTTGAAGAAGACCGAGGCTACAGTAGTAGCCGCTTTTGGCAGTTGAGAAAAAGAAAGAAGAAGGCGGGCTCTGCGAGGATCTGCGCGGTCAGAGACACTGACACTGCTGTGCATGCATGACCAACAAGACGTTTCAGCAGCACAACAAGAGACAGACGCCAGAAAGGGGTTGCGATGGAGCTTGACACTTGGCAACGACGCTCAGAGTGCCCGACAATGATACGAGCCGGTGGTGCTGGATGTGCATACAGTACAGTACAGCGATGGAAAAGTGGGCCCCACGGCGTGTGTATGAGCACGCGAGCCACAGGCATTCGTTACTGTATGTATACTGTACTGTACTGTACTGTACTGTACTGTACTGTACTGTACTGTACTGTACTGTATTCTTAGAGTCAGGCTTGATTCAGGGGCTGCAGTTGAGGATTTCAGTTGCTGTTCCTAAGCTCAGGGACGGTCGGTCGACTCCACTTGCTCGACACGCTCTCGCTTCGCCAAGCCAGACGAGTACTGACTCCTGAACTGAACTGAAACGTCAATGAAGCACAATATTAATCTATTAATATTATTTTGTGTGTTGTGTGTGTGTGTCTGTGTCTGTGAGTATATGTTGGCTAGTTGCTGCTTTTCGCCTGCCTACACGCCGTTGCAGGCGCGTCTTTGCCTTTCTTGCTTGTGCATGCATGGACGTACTAGCTGCATGTCAGAGTCGCTCGACAGGGGTCAACACTACAGTAGCGCTGTCCGTGTAGTCCGCGTCACGTGCAGTTGTACCGTTGAAAGAATCTAAAAAGAGAAGTGTTAGGCTGTCAATCTTTTTTGATGTCTCCACATTCTTCGTCCAGTCTTCCTGCGACCCCTCGTTGTGCCTGCATGCATTGCCAGGTCGTCCTCGCTTCCTTGTACAGCTCAGTGCAAGCCTGGCCAAGAGTCTGCCTCCTCGGAGACTGTGGAATCCTTGCAGAACAGCATGCTTCATTGTCGATTTTTAAGAAAAAGTAAAGGTCTGGCTTGGGGGAAAGCCTCTGCTGTTGCCCGAGAAATGGCCGAGTCGAGAGAGGCTCAAACGGCCGGGCCGAGCCGATGCGCAACGGTCGCTTTGAGGTTCATCATCACTCTGCGCTGCTCGGCATTCTAAATTTTCCGATTTCCGTGCTGTAGTGTACATACACCAACCACCATTCGGCCAACAAGAAGAATGGGATGTGCAAGTGAATCAAGTACTGAGGTCATGCGTGGCTGCATTGCAACGTGAGCGCTATCGTTGGTGCTGAGTTCCCGCTGCAGCCCTTTGTTTTAGCACTTGGCTGTGCTTTGCTTCCAAAGGGTCGGGTGTGATCCGCAAACCAGTAGCTGACGGCTTGTCCGAGAGCTCACATACATTTTATTATCATCGCTTGGTGGCGACTGTGGTACGCAACTACACTACAGTGCCGTCGCTGCTGCTTCTCCATCGTCATCCATCCTTTTTCCAGCTGCGCATTTGTAACAGACCTTCACGGCCGCAATTTGCAAATGAAGTTTTCAGCCTCCTTGCTCTCGCCACCACGCCGCGACGTGCTCCTGCCGACCCGGCAGATTTGACAATCTGATCCGCACCTCTCACCTCGATACCTTTCTCTTTCCCGCATTCACTCTAGGAGGTACTGTCTTCTATGACTATACACCATGGAAGCTTCCAGCAACAACGGCAAAGCCAGAGCCGTTGACGCTCCCGAATGCAGCACCAATAGAGTCAACACTCCAGCGGCTTTGCAAAACGCGATCGTCTCCATCTGGCCGGTACAGCTTCGTGATTTGAATCCCGAGCCTGTCTCGGCTGCCTCCAACTCGGGCGCATCGACATCGCGCAAGTCTGCCTCTTATGTTCCGCTCGAGCGCATCGAATTTGAAGACGTGTCGTACTCGCTCAATCTCCACGATCTCTGCTCTCGGCCGGTCTCTCGCACCGATGGAGCCCTCCGCAACAAACCCGACCACGCTGTGCACTCACGACAAGCCACAGCAGATGGCGAAAAGGCATCAATTACTGCGACATTGCTCAAAAGGAAACGGTCGCCATCACTCGATCTGTCAGAGCAAGCATCGTACAAGCGACTCAGGCCAA